ATAAAAACTCAAAATTTTCATTTGATTCAACCACCGGGAAGCCCCAAAACGGCATTTAGTCCCCATTAAAGTAACGTGTGTGTCATACATGGGCAAGATATGAAACCGAAATGAAAATTCGGTTGAGGATGGCACAGTCTCGAAACCTTGTAGCTGATTTTTTTTGAGTTGACCCATCGCAAGCCTTTACGCCCTTTGAAAGCAGAAATCGCGAAAAAGCGCCACTTTCGCTCAAAAAAATTGATCGCCTGGCCCCAAATCGGGCCAGCGATCGGGCCACCTCAGCCTCCAAAGCTCCCCAAACTGCCCGGGAGGAAAAATCCCCAAGCCCAATTAGCAGCTGCGGATCGGGCGCAATCAATAAGCAAATTACCCGAACATATGTAAATAATAAAGCTCGGGCTTCCGCTTTTAATAAATCCGATCCGACCAGCTCAATTTAACTACCAAAAGTAATTATTCTAAACCAGCGTCCAGCTAAATAACGAATTGACGGTAAAACCATTATAAATGTCAATTTGGATCTAATTTTGATTTATCAGCGCTGTCGTTTACAGTCCGAATGGAATAGTGGGTAGTCCGTCTTTTGGCTGAAGCCGGGCGGCCTACTAAAACCCATCCAGGCCGGAACGGGCCGCTTGATGATGAATCAGGCTCGGCTTTTGTGGATTTGCAGCGCAATTCATCCAGCCACATTTATTGAGGGGCAAAATTGATATAAAAACCCCAATTTTTCGCACAGGCGCCATTGTTGGGCGTTTGCGCCAGCTGAAAGCGCTGGAATCATAAAAAAGCGCCATCGGCTCTAACAATTAGCGCATTTTGCTAATTGAGTCGCTTGCACAGGGCCGGATCCACCCAAAACCCCACCAACTGCGACTCTTCAGGCAGGCGCGTGCACTTTTCGGCTCGTCCGAATGGCGAATGGGCGTCGTCGCGATTAATTAAAATTAATTAAAGTAAGTTTTAATGAACCGGTTGTTAGGTGCGGCCGTGTCACGCGTCCAAGGGCCAATTAGGACAATTTGTCCTTTGACTGGTGGCATTTTCCAGCGCGTCGGGACACTAATTATTGTCCATCGTGCGATTATTAAAGTTGGAGGCTCGGTGGGGCCAAACATTCGTTCGGATTGTTGGCCGAGTGATGAATGGGGAACGAGGCTGGACGACGGTCTGACCGTCGGAAATTACTGTCCGTCCGGCCGGACGGCATGAGAAATTCGTTTAATTCTGAAATGGAAATTCGGTTGGGGGCTGCGAACTTTGCCAGCTATTAACTGGCAAGTTTGATGGGGTTTACTTCTCCACATTCAGCTGTTCTGCAAAGAACTAAATATTTCCACAGCTAAACCCGCTAGGGAAATACCAGTCACAGCGTTGAATAGAGCAGTTTAATGGCCCTAATAATGGCTCTATGGGTGTTTCGTCTCACGTGCATCCTCAGGCAGCTACAGGCCAGTTTTTGGGTTCAAGTTCCCACTTTACCTTAGGTCGGTTGAATGACACAATTTTGCGTTTTCTGCAAAAACTAAGGGCTGCAGCGAAAAATGTTGCTCTATAGAAAATGTTTAGCTGACCTCATGGTGTCCGGTGGGGGTATCAAAAAAGTAAAATCTGAAAATTTTCAAAAACCAAAAAAAATAATTTTTGAAAATTTTTCAAAAAAATGGTTTCTCAATTCTGGCCCT